ATATATATATAAACAATTACTCTATCAATAAACAATGGGTCTGAGTACTTATGAAGTTTCAATACGGGCATAGGTACGTCGAGCGAAATAATCCAAACAAGGAAACCCTCATGTATATACCTTGTATCCCAAATTGAAAATCCTTAAGTACCAAACCCGGAGTCTAATATGTAAACAGAAATAAGCAAAAAGAAAATACAACATGTCTCCGAACATATATATATTGTATTATGTGACGTCCCACATAATTACCATGTCGTATTTGACATAAGTGTCATATCATACTCTCAATATATGTGGTGTCATATTCTTCATAAGTGTCATGTCATAACTCATGTGAAATGTCGCATGCGTGGTTAATACAGATGTCCAGTACATGAATTAGATATAGAGATTTCCCAACACATGAGATAAATGGATAATTGCCCAACACGAGGACTGAAATGGATTATAGTCCAACACGAGGACTTCTGTGGATTATAGTCCAACACGAGGACTGTGCAACTGAGCAAGTATTAGTGATATACAAGGCATGGTTTACTTATGCAAAACTCACACTCAACTCGTCGTGTGATTCTAGGCAAGTATTTCAGGCCATCTATCATGCATAGATGCTTAGTACAACTGAAGGTCAAAGTTAGGTGATCGAGGCAAGAGCTCTAACGAGTGTACTATACAGCAGAAACAAACAGGGCAGGAAAAACTGTGCGGCGGTCGACCGCAGAACCCACTCCGGTCGACCGCTCGCAGGCCCGAGAACTACTGGGCTCAAAAGCTGAGCGGCGGTCGACCGCAGAGGTCATGCCGGTCGACCGCCCAAAGCGCAGAAACGATTCTACAGGCAGGAACGCGCGACGGTCGACCGCTGAGTCCCGTGCGGTCGACCGCTGGGCGGACAGAACCTCATTCTGGGTTCTGTCAGCTACCGAACTCATACAAAAACTTGGGGATTTCTATACCCATTATACTATAACCTTTACTAGAGAACTATGGCAATAAACAACAAGTTTAAATGGTTAAAACCTCATTATCAAAAATCCCAAACCTTAAACAACATGATTTTAAAAGTTCTTAAATAGTAAAAATGAGTTTAACTCTCATAAAAGTGTAATTAAACATCATTAGTGAACTTTTTAAGACTGAAATATATGATTCTTGCATCCCATGCCATAAGATCTACTTATCTACACAAAAATACGATTTTTGGGCTCAATAAAAACCGAATAAAACTCAAATCCAAGCATAAAAAGGAAAAAGGGGTGAAGTTGGGCGGGATGTTACTCGCCTACGACGAAAACGAAGCCCTAGATCTGGAGGAAGATGATCCCCCTCTCGAGCTGAATCCCACCAACATTTCGCGGTGAAGAACTCCGTCCAAGAGCTGCCTCAAATTCACAAGGAGTGAGAAAACTAGGGATTTCGAGGGGAGAGCAGGGCTAGGGTTGCTTGATATCAAGATGGAAATGGGGCTCTCGCTGGAGTATAATAGTAGTATATATATCCCCACAGACCGCGACCCCGAACGCCGGGACGGCGAAAAGCCGTTAAGAACCGCAACACGAAAAAAGCCTGGCCTTCGGCGCTGTGCGGTCGACCGCTGCGGCGCCGCAGCGGCGGTGCAGACCGGCACAAGCAGGAGAAAATGTCCCCTGAGGTGCCGACTGCTGTGTCGGTGCGACCGGCGGACCGGAACGACAGCGCTGGCCCTGACACGGTCACCCTCGGTGTCCCTGCGCGGACCATTGGTCGGCGGTCGCGCACGAGGCCAGCTAGGACACACTGCCTGCTATGTCTGTTTGACATCCTGGTGAAATCCACTTGTTTTGCCCAAGCATAGGAGGTTTCTTGTTAGGCCGCCTTCCCAAACATGAATTCATCCACACGTTCAATTATTATTACTAAGTGAGGTGATATGATACAATTGATTCACAAAGAGAATAGTATTACATCAACTAATGAATTCCAATATGCGTTATAAAATTTTACGGGGTTCGACAATTCATTTATGTATCCGCATCTATATCCGTAATCATATCCGATTTTGACGGATATGGACATGAATTTTCCTTACCGAGGTATATCCGTATCCGTATCTGAAATGGTTAAACAGATTTGGATATGGTAAGCATCATATCTGAGTCGTATTCGGACCGAATGCACCCTAGTTACTAGGGAAAATTCTTCATGAACTAGTATGTTCTTTATGATACATAAGCTATACACTCTAAATTCTTGTGTCTTTTATAAAGCCAACAAGTTTGAATACGAGCTTCCAACATCTTGCTCTCATAATAGCAAAATTCACTTAGCAGATGTGGATATTCCAGATGAGTTATATGTCCTATATACAATATAATTAATCTAGACAAGTGAGTTATAATAGCATTTTTCATTCACATAGTTTGGGCAAGATTTGATAGAGGCATTGCTTCAAAGAAAAAAATTTATATGCAGAGCACATGGCAAAATATATCATAGTCTCTCTGTTTTAATTTTGTAAGAAAATAATTCTTCATACTTTCAGTTTTATTTCTATGATAAGGAGAATGAGCTATAAAATTGAATGAGAATATTAGATAATATAAATATGAATGAGACCATAACTAAAAGTTAATGTGAATATAAGTCAAACCACAACTAAAAGTTTAATTGACATATTGCAAGTCAATTCATATGCAAAATTCGTTTGCAAATTGAATGATCACTCATCTTTTGAAGAATTCAAGATACTAATAAACAGAGATGTTGTACTAGATAAATGTATTTATAACTTACAAATAATAGATCATGTGGCCACAGTATGGATTGAAGGAAACAATTATAATATTTCATTTGAGAGAGAGATTATTGAGTTGATGAACAATCCTATTGAGTTGATGATCAATCAAACAAAGAAATTATTTTTTTATTTTTATTTTGTTTATCAATTTAAATAAACATAAGATTCAACCACGTGCATTGTACGTGCATCTCAACTAGTTTAATAAAAATCATAACATCAGAGAAAATCCCCATAACCAGCGCCTAATAGAAATAAACTGGACAACCTAAAATACAACATCATAAGTTAAGAAAAAAAGAAGAAATCATTCACACCAATTGCAGCCATTGATTAATGGAGACCTTTATCTACGTTGTTGGCGAGATGATAATTAGAGAGGAAGGAGGTGGTTGTATCCAGCGTACTCGATTCTATGCTAGAGACAAAAACAAACATGAGATGAATTGACAAACAGTGAGAACTCTAAACAGAACCCAACCGCGTGTGTAAGGCACAAGCGTGGAGAAGTTTTGCAAAGGTGAACGAAAAAAGTGAAATAAAAGTATTCTAAAAGACGGGAGCTTACCCAAATTTGAGTAGGATTCAGATCAAGAGAAAAATATAGACAATCGAAGAGCAGAAGAAAAAGAGTAAGATGAGACTTTAGCAAGGTTTGTGGTGAAGATTTTGGCGAAGGAATTTGAGGAACCAAAGCCGCCTCATAGAAGTATTATTCTCCCGCACTAAAGGAAGATGAAGAGTGGAAGAAAAAGAAAGAGAGGAGGCAGAAAGGAGGATATAGGAAATCTTATGCGGAATTTTGATGGGGATAAAGAGGGGGAAGGGAAGAGAATTTTAAATTTAACTTTGTTTGGGAGATTTATTGGGAGGGGGAAGAGGGAAAAGGAAGGAGAAGTTACCCCCAAATTAGGTGGTAACGAGGGAAATGGAAGGAAAGTAAAATTTTATAATGAAACAGACATCTTGAACCTCTATCATATTGAATCACTAACTAAATTTCATTTACTTCCCTTACCTTGCCATAATTAGAACTCCAAAAAAACATAAATTTAGTTTGCCTCCATTCCCTTTACAAAACTCCCAAACAAGATATATTCCCTCCTCTTTCTTATTTTTCCTTTCTCTATCTTTCTTGTTCTTTACGCGGGGATGTGTGAGAATGGAATGCAATTCATCTTCTCATTCATGCTTACTAAACATGTTATGTTTTTGGATGCTAGAAATGATATTATCACTTCTCATTAATTCCCGGTGAATGTGAGAATTGCTATTTCCAATAAGTTAACAAGGAATTGATATCCTCACTTAAGTGAGAATAAAAATAATAAAATAAATTCTAGATATATCATTCTTAAAGATAATCCCACTTAATTTATTAATGACATAAAAAAACATGAGAATGAGAATGAACATTCCATTCCCACATCAATCTATTGTATTCCTACCTTCATTCTATTCTCGTTTGACTCGATTCTCACATGCCAAATGAGCAGTGAGCAAACTCCCAAACATAACATTATAGAAGATTTGGTAGGGAAATTAAATAAGTGTGGGGGCCACATATTTTCATTGATTAACCTATTAGTTTTAATCTAACCACTAATTTGAATCTAACGATGTAGAATGACTATGTCGCGTTAAGCAAACTATCTTACTGTCTCACCATTTTGCATATTTAATTTCCCTGCTAAATTTTCTATAAGATTTTCTATATCCTCCCTTCCACGTGTATAGCACGGGCAGGAGGGGGTCATATTACTACCACGTACGTATCACGTGATTCCTATTGCTGTAAGTTATTATTCTCTACAATCTCTTGCTGCTTCTAAATTTTTTACGCGGTTTCTCTCCGTAAAAGCCTGGGATTCGAAAATAAATCTTCGTCAAACTTTCTCTCTCTCTGCAATTGATTCTTACCCTAGTTCTTTAATGGGAACCCCAGAATTCCCCGATTTGGGAAAACACTGCAGCGTCGGCGACTGCAAGCTCAACGATTTCTTGCCCTTCACTTGCGATCGCTGCCAAAAGGTACTAATCCCTAGAGATTTCTCTTAATTATCTTGATTTATGTGCTCTGATTGATCTTCAGTCTGATGATTGACTGTGCTGACAATTTATTTGTGTTGAAATTCATGAGAAATTTGGCATTACGAGCTTAGGGTTTCTATGAATTAGTCAAAAAAGCTGTTTTTTTGCTGAAAAAGTTATCGATCACTCAAGATTCTCGATATTAGTGCTAGAAATAGGATTGATGGAAGAATTTTTGAGTAAGGGGTTGGTTTATTTTGATCAATATTTGGTGGACATCGACAGAGAAGTTATTTGAGAAAGTAAAATGTTGGCTACTTATGTTGCCATTCTATACGTTATATATATTTTTTTCCGTAAAAATTTTCTTTGTTATGTAGTATCCTCAAGAACTTTTACTAGGAAAAAAATTGGTTGGTGTTGGGGATTTTATTTGGCAGAAATATAACTGTGGTAGACACATTGTTAGTTCTTTAATGTCATTTTTTTGAGGGTTCAGTAGTATTGGTATTTTCATGTGTGTGCTCATTCTTTGCTATTAGACTATTGGGTGACAAGATTATAGGATTTGTTGTTTACAGGCTGCAAGTTGGATCTGTATGACAAGTTTTCCCTAGAAAAGATTGAAGGAAGATTAGTTATGAGTTCTTCCTTTCTGATGAAGAATCCACAACTTGAAAACTGTTGTGTTTGACTAGGCATTGCACACATGTTCGTCTTTCTCTCATGCTTAAATTTTTTTTACGGATATGCACTCATCTCATAACTATGTGCAAGATGAGACAAAATGCTCATTTCAAGTTTGCTAAAATTCTATGGACCTTTCTACTAGTTATGTAAATTCCAGATAGGAATTTTTTTTGAATTAGATCTATTCCCAAAAAAATTTATCAAAATAGACCTAGTCCTAAAATATTTATCAAAATCGAACTAGTTTCTGCCACGTTGGCTGAAACTAGTTTGTTTTTGATAAATATTTTGGGAACTAGGTCGATCTTGAAAAAAAAAATCGTAAACTTTATGGGATTGGGAATCCTGGAGATTTTAACACACGATTTAACTTTATGGGATTGCCAATCCCGTGGAGTTTGGAATTTTTTTTTAATTATCAAAATCAGCCTAGTTTTGCTGACGTGGTTGAAACTAGGTTGATTTTGGTAAATATTTTGAAAGTAGGTCGAAATTTATAATTTTGGTTTTGAAAAGGTCTATTTCAAAAATTTGTCCTTTCAGATAACTTCATTAATTCCTTCAGGAAATTCCTCTAAATAATTTTGGTGTTTTTGCATTTTGCCTCATTTTCTATGTCTACTTTCAATTTTTTCTTCAATTGAACCTGATTTTGGTATATGAGTTACTAGTGTGCACCCCGTGCAAAGCACGACCCCTTTTTTGTTTCCGCTACAGTAATTCTATTTTAAATGCTACAACATTTTTTGTAAAAAATGCTACAGTAATATTTTTTAAAATGCTACAGCATCCCGCCTGTGCTATAGTAATAATGCTAATATCTACTGTGGCATGAATAGTGAATTATTGGATCCTCCTATAAGTATAGAGGAGTAGATTATGCTTCCTTTATGATTCCATATTCTTGATTGCAGGTATTCTGTCTGCAACATAGAAGATACGGTACACACCAGTGTCCGAATGCAAATGATGAGGACATCACTGTCCTAAAATGCCCATTATGTGCTAAAGGAGTTCGACTTGTTCCAAATCAAGACCCAAACATCACATGGGATGTTCATGTTAACACTGATTGTGACCCATCAAACTATCAGAGAGCTACCGAAAAGAAAAAGTGCCCTGTTCCTGGTTGTAGAGAACCGTTGACGATCTCCAACAAAATCCAGTGTAGGGACTGTATCCAAGATCACTGCTTGAAACACAGGTTTGGGCCAGACCACAAGTGCCCTGGACCAAAGAAACCTGACTCTGGGTTCCCATTCATTGGTCTTCTGAAGAGGAATCAGACAGTGCAACCTAATTCTGGTTCTTCAAGCGGAGGATCGTCATGGTGGAGTTCAAGTTTAATAAATGCAGCATCAAGTGTCAGGGCCAGTGCTGAATCGGGTATACAGAGGTTGAGTACAACAACTAATCAAGCTCTGTGCAAAGCAAAAGATGGAATGTCACAGAGCAGTAGTGGAGGTGGTCCTGAGCAATGTCCTCAGTGTCCATCAAAGTTCTCCTCTGTCACTGCACTTATTGAGCATGTCGAGAAATCTCACAACAAAGGTGGCCAACAACAGAGAGTGACTGTTGACGTCTGTCCTAAGTGCAGCAGGGCTTTCCAAGATCCAGTGTTGCTGGTGGAGCATGTTGAGAAGGACCATACAGGCACTTCAAAGGCATAATGCACGTTAACATTGTTAGTCATGTGATTCATCATCTCCCTTGAAGAGCTACTGTATGAAAAAGAAGCAAAAACCTTCACTTTTTTGAGTAATCTCTTAATATTTTTTTACTAGCAAGAGACGGATTTTTGTTTGTTTTTCAAAACTGTTTTTTTTTCCTGCTCTCTCTAAATGGCTGAACTATATTTAGTTGTTGGTTTCATATCCTTGTGGTGGTAATAACTGTTTGCCTTGACAGTTTATATGCATTATTCCACTGTTGGAAGAGAAAATTTGAGAGTTGGTTAATTTATATAAAACCTAGGATCAGGATATCTGTCATTTATGCAGTTATGCGGAATTTTCTACATTTACTATTGCAGCCAAGTTTTGCTCTGAAATTTCTTGTTTTGTGTTGTCCAAACCTGATGAGCCAAGTTTTACTGAGAATCACATTATACAATACTTGATTTCATCAGGAGAAATTTGTTGATACTTTTGTTACGAAAACAAGGACTGTTTTCAGTGAGAGCAAGGGATGCGGATTGGACATAAAATAGCCATTCGCCTGCTGGCTAGCCATTGAAGAGGATTCAGGTGAGTGAATGTAGAGCAGCTTGTTCAATGATCATAATCTTGTTTTTGAAAGAATGAGAAGGAAAGGTTCAGTTGCAAATAGATTTATATACTATGATATTTGAGCAACACCAAGTTCAAAATACATATTTTTCTTCTTGTGGAATAACTAAACAAGGATTTGATATAGTCCCTTGATCTGTGCTGATTTAAATGGTTATGCCTCTTTTATCTCTCTTTGCTTCTCAGATGGTAGGCACATACTTTATATTAACAGCTGGTGGTCCAACAAGTTCAGCTGCAGTCATTTACCAAAATAGTGAAATCTGATGCCTGTATGAATTATTAAATATACCTGAGTAATTTAACTGCATGATAATTCATAATGTATTTTTTCTAACTTGTAGCACCATTTGAGGTCAAAAGTATTATGTTGCAACTATAGATTAGAGGCACCATACCCAACAGTAATAATACTAAGAGTTGGAGTACCATAGGAAACTTAAATATGCATAACATATCTTTGCTTTTAAGCATTCTTTTTCCAGTATAATCTTCTGTCTTCCTTACTAATTCATTTCTCCTACACAAATTACAAACATATATATGTTTTGTTTTGCAGTATCATCCCTAGAAGCTATGGAGGTGGAAATTGAGCATTTCATGCTCATTCCTGGCCGTTAGGCTCCAAGGCTTGTTGCAGAAGAGCCTAGGCTCTTCTCTTCCTCTTTGGCAGCATGAAACATCAAGTCTGTTATCTCTTGTAATATCTTCAGCCAGGATTGCCTTGGTAGCTGCTTCATTCACTTCAGATTCTTCGCCTCAAGGTAAGCTCTTTACATTCAGTTGCTTTTCACTCTCCATCTGCATCTTATCTTCTATTCTGAGCTAGTGCTCTAGCTTTCAGGAATTATATTTTTGTTAGTTAGTATTCAGTTTATATGGCTATCCTGTTATTTATAGGAGAAGGCCTTGATTATCATTCTATCCTTAGTGGTACTCTTGCTTGGTGTTGTCTTTTATGTGGTCCTGAAACTACACAACGTTATCTTCATGGTTCTTTGGCTTGTCTTGAGTATCAGATAAGGCCTTGAATCTTGATTAAAGGATTTTAAGCGCCTCAGAAATATGATGTTTGGTAAATTTTTTTTTCTTTTTTTTTTCCAGAAGAGAATGGAATTGGGCTTTGTTTAGTCTGTAAATGAGTGGGACACATTTGGGATCATGTGTTCTGTTCATTACAGCATTTACTGGTGAGTAGGAAGCAAGATTTGCCACTTGTTGCAAACTTGGATGTGAAGTCCATTTTTCCAGGAACGTTTTATTTATTTTAAAAGAAAACCAAAGTAATCTATATCAGATGTCTCCCAGCCAAAATAGTTAGAAATTTGTGAAAACCAAATTGTTTTTTACTCATGCAGCTCCAGCTGCAGCAAATTGGGTGGACCGGTAATGAAACTAACATCAGCTACAGTTACAACATAATTCCTTAAAAATAAAAGTCTGGGCTTTCATTTCTTGCATTTCATTAGTCAAACAGCCACATGATACTGGACTCCATTTCCTGTATTGCAGCACACCAACTAACAGAGTATGGGAAAAGGATGTACCTTCTCAACTTTCCAATATTACGAAGATAGGATAACTTTACAGTCTTCAGAATTACTTAAAAGCAGTTATAAAAAGTAGCAAATGGTCAGGCTACAACTGCCAGAACACAAAGCAAAGCAACAGAGAACTTCAAAGAGGAACACTTAAAAAAAAACATATAATAGATAAGTTTATAATTCGGTATATCGGATTAGGTTTAAGTTTATTATCCGATATCTCGGATAGGTTTAAGTTTATTATCTAATATATTGGATTAAAAGGTTTATGTTTATTATCCAACATCTCAGATTGAAAGGTTTACTTTGGCTTGCAGCCATCACTTCCAGACTTTTTCTGATCACCAGAATTCTTCTCCTCATCTTCATCCTTCTTGCAACCATCATTACCAGAATTGTTCTGACCACTGTCATTCTCCTCTGCATCATCATCCTTGAAACTCTCGGGGAAAACCAATTTCAGCATCTCTCTAGTCACCATTGTTTTCACTCCACCTGGTGAATGTACAAACCATTAGCTCTATTTATCAGAGATTCATATTCCGATTTTTTCAACTCTAAATAGTCAAGTGAATTCATAGTTATTGTTGCATACCTCCCTTTGGAGTGTCTGAGGCTACCTTTGGAGTGTCTGAGGCTACCTTGTCATTCTCTGGTAAAGCAGATTTCAGCTTCTTTCTTGTCTCCATTGTTTGCCCTACACCTGTCCCATGTACAAACCATTAGCTCTAAGTATGAGAGTTTTTCCTTCCAATTTTTTTAAATATAAATAGGCACAGTAATTGAATTCATAGCTAATAGTTATTGTTGCTTACCTCCATTTGGAGTGTTCCAGGCCGCTTGGTCATTCTCTAGTAAAACTGATTTCAGCTTATCTCTAGTCTCTATTGTTTGCAGTTCACCTGTCCAATGTACAAACCATTAGCTCTATTTATGAGAAATTTTTCTTCCAAATCTGTAAATTTATACAGGTACATTAATCAAAATAGTCATACCTCCCTTTGGAGTGTTCCAGGCCATTTGAGTTTTGAGGAGATTGCAATAGCCCTCCAAGATGCCCACCCACTGTTTTGCACCAAAAGCCATACCTGAGGACACATATAGCTTGCAATAGTGCCCAACATCTCTATTATCCACTTCAAAATGTTCGATCCATGTCACCTGTTTTCATATTGTCAGTATAAATCAGACACATAACTGAAGAAGTCCAGCAGTGTTTTATCTTTTTTTACCTCAGAGAAACCATTGCTCATATCTTGAATCAAGCACCCTGAAGGCCTTCTCTTGCATTTCATAATATGGTGTTGCAGAACATTATCCACTGAAACATCAACGACTGCCCAAGAAGTCTCATTTGGTAATTTCTTGCAGAAACGCAGGAACACACTCCTCCTATGTGGGATAAGTTGCTGAGGCGTCAGAGGTATCTGGTACTCTGCCGATACCTGAAATTTTACTAAAATTAGGATCTTTTCAGTATGAATAAATGATATGAAGACATACCGCTAGCATAGCTCCATTATAATTTTCTGGTTCTCCTGAAGATATCTCTTCCATCATCACACCACTTGCTAGCATGCTAGAAAAGCAAGTGGACCAGTGATCCTGCATGAAGCATATGCATACCCACAATAACGATAGTTATGATCACTGACAAAAAGCAAAATCTCTTACCACATCCATGAGTATGCCAACTATATCCCTAGGACTCATTGGTACAATTACACGCGAACGTGTTCCTTCTCTATCATACCAGTAGGGCTTTAGAGTACCCCTGCTAGCAAAGTTCAGGAGATATTGCCCCTCATTGATTGTCTCCAAGGAGTTATAAGGGTGTGATATCCATATCGGTTCCCTTGCTTGAACCAGCATCAGAAACTCGCGCATTGCTGAAATAGCAAGTCCAACAGGCGCGAGTTGAGGGTCATTCTCCATCAAATTTGATGGCACTGAACTGACATCTATCTCTTTGAGAAAATTTCTTCCAAGCTTCTCCATGACCCTTTCTCGAACCTTTTCGAACTGTTCAGAATATCTAAATTAAGACACAATATCTAACGTTTAGAAACTATTCATAATAATAACATCGAAAGTACCTCTTGTTTTAGCTTGCAATTCTCATGTACGCGTGGAGGCCAATCTGGTGCATCCCATCTAGGGATAAGAGGGCTATTGCAGTGGAGGCAAGAGCTATTTGATAGAGCTGTCTTGTACTTGTGAATTTCTTGTTCAAGCCTTGCTATCTCCTCTCGAAGTAGCCGCATGTACTCCTTAGGATTCTTTTATAAGGGAGTTATATATTATTAGAAAGGGATAGTACCCAGAATATAGTAGCTTGCGAATGGATTTATTATAAAACCAATTCCAAATTTTCAGGACGAATAGCTGTCTTAAATTTCTCAGAAGTATCTAGTGTTTTGAGTAGATATATCAGCAGAAAAGTAGAATGCTTTTGATATTTGGAGACTGTTACGATTGTTTAAGAAAATTTTATTACACTTTAATTCTTTAGATGATAGCAGTTGTGATTGAGGAAGCGAATCTTTACTGTTTTTGACAGTGAGAGGATCCAAATTCATATTCTTGAGATACTGTATGACAGAGTCGATTTGAACAGTAACTTATCCATCGTAAGTTATATATATTTCCAGAATACCACTATGGAACTCCAACTTTTAAATATTGGGGAAATGGTTGAGGAGTGTGTAAGTTTTGTTTTTTCTACCAGAATTTTCTATGAACAGATTCATGTATGTATGTATGGATGGATGTACGCATGCATGATTTCACTAATTGTTCCTACCGGTGATTTATAAAAAAATTCCTATATATGAATACCTGATATTTTCTGTCTCTGCTTGCATTTCACAGCCTTCACCTTCTAAATTCAGTGTGGTTTATTTCACATGTTTTTTATTATGATTCACAGCCATATCTGCGTTTATATTTCAGAAGAAACTGGAAGTTGTGATATCCGGTGGAATTGTGATTTGTAAGGAAGGATTTACTGTTTCATATTGAATTATTACTGGAAAATAGAAAGTAACTTTCGGACTCAGAAGAAAATTATGGGACATGAAACAAATACTTAGTAATTAATCATTTCTCCCACTTGCTATATTCTATGTAGCACGGACACGGATCCGACACGGCCATCCGACACGCCGACACGAGGCAAATCCTAAAAAATACATAGGATACGTGTGTTCGACACGTGTGTCCGACACGGACACGACACGACACAGCTTCATGTTTCGACACGTGTGTCCGACACGGACACGACACGACACAGCTTCATGTTATGCGTGTCCGTGCTTCATAGGCTATATTTATTCTTTTGGTTCAAGATGGAAATTAGAGTCTCTTTTTCCAAGCAAAAACCATAATCTGAACCTTGAAGTTAAATCTCTAATGATCTAACCAAATTATTGTGATCAAAGGCCACATTGAAGAAACTAGAGTTAGGAAATAAAATAAGTTTTTAAAAGTAACAAATAGGGATTAAAAAATATTAGAATATAAATGTCATTGGTATACCTAAAATCAAAGGAGAAATCGAATTAGTCCCTTATAGGAAAGGATGGGCCAAGAAAAATGGAATTTCATCAAAATTACCATCTAATTCGATTGACTTCCTTTGAGACTAGATGCCTACTGATTCTTAGATTATCTGCTTAACTTCCCTTAAGTTTTTCAATATATTTAGCTATGTATTTAATATAAATTTTTTATCAAGCGTTTTTTTCGTATTGACATTCCAATTTCCCTCTTGATGGTAAGTATAGTATAAACGCCTACTTCTCGACTGGTGTTTTTAAATAATTCTAGTAACATTAGTAAGTATTTCCTTTAGATCTACAATCTTAGATCTTTGCTCTTCTTGATCATTCCTTCCTCTTATTAAACATTCTTTCCTCTTCTCGATCATTCCACACCTAACCATTAATTTATATTTCAAATGCCTACCACATCTATAATACCATGATTTGACTTAATCCTTTTCAATTTTTGCTATGAAGTTAGATGATCTAGTATGGTAATAAATTAATAATGAGAAGCCTACACAAGAAATTATATTTCTCTACCAAAATATATATCACATACACTTATGGTGAAGCATAGATGTCAATGAGATCAAGCATGAAACCAGTTAATATGATCTTAAGAAGAAAGAGGAAAACTTACCATCTTTGCTTGGCTAGAGATCCCCTTTCCAATATGCGCAAACAACTTTCGATCAACACAGGGAATCTACTATTACTATTGAAAAACTTTCTATACTGAAAACCAGAAGTACAAGATGAAATTGGTAAGGAAGAAGAGGGGCCGGTTATGGTTTCTCAAAATAGATCTGACCTGGGTCTCTATTTAAAGAGTACAAACCGACAAAAGTTGAGCGAGAAACCCTAGGTTGAGGAATCCAGACCATCCTCCTACAGTGCATTGCAAGTGTTTAGACTGCAAAGTGATAGTGCCCAACTGGCAACCCTAGCTTGAGGTACTTGAAACGGTTTGCATGCAATGCATTAACAAGTGTAGCACATACGACAAAACTTGAGCGGCAAACCCAAGGTCAAAGAAAAGCAACTTTCAAGTTTCCATACAATGCATTATGAGCGTTTAAACCAAGATAAAGCATAGATGTGACACACGTGGTTTTTCCAATTCAAACCAGGTAACTAGAAAGTCTAGAAGTTTTTTCTCAGAGACGCTGCACATCTCACCCAAAGTTTCATTTGATGGACAGTAAATGGGTTAATGGAGAGGATGAAAAGATAGTTCGTAGAAGTACCTTGTATTTAGAGTAGAAAGTTTACCACTTTGTTCATCATCCTTTTTCTCTCTTACTCCTTATTTCTAACTTTTCTCTTACACCTTATTTCTAACTTTTCTTTATAATGTTTCTCTTTGTCTAATTTTTTCTCTCTGTAATCTTTGTCCTTTACCCATCTCTTTATTATCTTTTCCTCTCCTATCCATCGTTTCAACTTTCTTTGTCTTTCTCTCTAAAGCTCTACTTTCTCTTCTAAATTTGAACTGATCTTCTTATAGGTGGGATTGGGTTGTGTGGATTATTTTATAATCCAAAGATGGGTTAGGCTAGGTAAGGATTAGGATGTTTTAGAGATTGGACCGTGTTCTGAATGATCCTTGATTCGATCTTGCATTTTCAAGTTTACATCCCTAATATTTCAGATGTCCTAGCAAACTATCAATGTGTATTCCCAAATAAAATTCTGTACAGATAGTTCTCCAATGTATGAAGAGGCTAGCAAATGAGCTCTCATCAATATATTTTGATTCTCTTATGTAGTAGGCTACTATTTTCAAACGAATAAAAATTGCTAAAAACTTCTGTAATGCATGAGAGAAATCTTTTGCTCTATTGAATTTGGTAGGTATTTGCTGAAGAGTTATCTTAGAAGACTAGTAAAAGAATAAAATTCTCATATTTTGTTTTAGATCTAGTTGTATACTAAAATACATAGAATGTAAATTAGTAAATTTCTAAAGAGAAAAGAGAATATAATACACATTGATGGTCAAGAAATATTTAAAAGTAATTACTTCTCTTATTTAAGGTCGATCATTTGCACGATGTTGAGCTTGAGAATGATCTTGTCCATCGAATCGAACCGGGATGGTCAATGGAGGAGTACTTCTAGAGTCTTATGTATGCCTATGATATTGAAGGGAAAATTTTAAAGTTATAAGACCAATAATGCTTTATGAATTAAAATGTTGGACTACTAATAACACATGTAAAAAAACCAAGGGTAGAAGAAATGAGATGTTCTGATGGTCTTGTAGGTGTATACTAAATGATAGGATAAGAAATGAGCGCATCATTAGAAGATTAAAGAATACTCTTGTTTAGATAAAATGAGAGGGAATCGTTTGAGGTGGTTTGGTCATGTACAACAGAAGTCTCTAAGTGCACCGTATAGAAAAAATGATGATATTATAGTTAAGGAGGCAAAGAGATCTAGGATATTAGCATTAAACCTTAAAGAACTTGGTTGGAAGTAATTAAGAAGGAGATGATAATAATTAACTTATCGGAGGAGATGATTCAAAATAGAACCGAATGGAAGAAGAAGATTCATATAGCCGACCTAAAAGATTTGGGATAAAAGTTTTGTTGTTATTATTGTTGCTTGTATCTAACTGAATACAAATTGTTTTGTCCAAATCTGGGATAGTTTAAGGTGTTTTCTGCCAGCATAACACCATAGGTGCTTTCTATCCAGAGATAACACAACAAAGAGATTGTTGCCATACCTTTGATATTGAGAAGCATTTCCTACAAAATTTCTATTCCAAATGCATCTTCTATGTTTTTTTTATTAAGAGAATTATGCTATTTGTTGTGCAATACTCTTTGCTATTCCATCACGTCCTCTTTTAGACATCTTAATATACCAACATATGTCCACGTTTCATGGTCTTTCATTTTTCCTTGAAATTCTGTTCTCACTTTTACTTTGAAATCTCATACTTCCAACTTTTCATTTTAACACTAGGTATCCCATGCAGTATTTTCTTATCATACCCTCAAAATACATGATTAGAGTACTAAAATTGCAGATGCGAGTTAAAAGGAGCAGCGAACCATCCCTTTGTTATCTGTGAGAATCCCTTATGAATGGATCTTACCTTTTCAGGGTTCATATCCATTTCTTTATCAGATTCACAATTCATGGACCAACTGGGCCCTCTTGCAACCCATTCGATAAGCCTATGGCAGAGGAATGCTAGCAATTCTGGCCTTTCTGGTTGCACTTTGGGCCCACTTCACCACTGGCCTAGCCGCACTTTACCAGGACCACTTAATTTTTCAGACTCGTGCATCGCATATGAAACGAATCTGTTATTGGAATAACATATTCTTCTTAGTTCTTTATATATGGGTACTACTCTTTGAGCACTTTGTTTTGGATCCAAAATTCATGGGAAAAGAATGACAAAAGATACCATGTGTCCTATTGACCTTTTTTCTTGTCATTCTGTCCAAAACCAATGATAGAGAACATCTCACTTGACCGATAGTTGATTTGTATTTATAGCTACAACCCTCTCTCTTTCTCTATATGTATATGTGTGTGTACATACAACTTTACCAGGACCACTTAATTTTTCAGACTCGTGCATCGCATATGAAACGAATCTGTTATTGGAATAACATATTCTTCTTAGTTCTTTATATATGGGTACTACTCTTTGAGCACTTTGTTTTGGATCCAAAATTCATGGGAAAAGAATGACAAAAGATACCATGTGTCCTATTGACCTTTTTTCTTGTCATTCTGTCCAAAACCAATGATAGAGAACATCTCACTTGACCGATAGTTGATTTGTATTTATAGCTACAACCCTCTCTCTTTCTCTATATGTATATGTGTGTGTACTTACA